GTTCTCTCCCAGAGCTTACCGCGTTGTCTCCTCTCCCCACGTGCTACCCTGGGTTGCTCCCTGGCCTTCTCCAAGGGGCTCCTCACCGACCTGCCTGCTTCTGCGCTCACCTCATTTCTGCTCATGATCTGTGTCCTGAAAGCAGGACTCTCCCTCACTGTATCCCTGGCCATCTTCAGGCCTGGAACTTGCCAAGCTGGTCCCCACTCTCTAAGACATCTCAGCTGTATTCCACTGGATGCCCCTCCTGTCGGGAGGCCCTGGCTCACAGGTTCTCCTCCCTGAAGCAAGAGCGGGAGCCTGGCCACCTCTGCACCTCCCCTCCCTGCTTAGACCAGTCCTAACCAGGAGGAGCAGAGCTTACAGAGAGAGAGGAGCACAGCCAGGGAGGAGGACGCCACATTCTGGCTTGCTTCCCCAACCTTGGCCATGCCCTGAGAATAAAAAGCTGCCACCTTGCTTCAGGACAATGATGGATAACAAACACCTCTGAGCTTTCAGTGACGGTGGTGAAAACACAACGCATAACAACGTAAGAAGGTAGAACTGGGCAGCTGCTTAAACTTACCGAGTATATTTTAAAGGAAAACACTAACGCTTCTTATAGAAGATTCCCTTATAGGCAGCACAAATTCGGGCATAAAAACCTTAAGTAAGCATTTGGTTCATGACTAAGATCTCAGCAAACAACAAAAAGCAACAAGAAAACATCTAAACTGCGAGAGGAAACACAAGCTGATAAATGCAGTGCGTAGGGAACCAGACAATCAGGAGGTCAATTTCTGCTGTCCGTTGGGTCTTTCCACACTTGTCTACGGGGGTAACCAGTTTGCGCTCCCAGATACCTTCTCTTAGAATGGACTTCCATGTCTGTAGATCGCTAGATTAAAAGCACGCGGATAGCACTGTCCAAATGGTCGTGTGAGGGAGTCTTTCAAAGAGACAGGAAGAGGAGCGATACAGTTTCTAACATCCAAGGATCCAGTGGCCCAGGGCATCTCATCTAAAATTCAGTGTGAGAAATACATTGTCAGCGCTTCGAGCTGGTCTTCACCTGAACAGCGAGGACAGGGGCTACTCCAGGTCAGGCCAGGTTTTGCTCTTTGCTCTCTGTAATTACTTTGAGAATTACTGTGCGAACCCAGCCAGGGAGTCACATTCCTTTAGCTTGATAGAGATCACGGTAATTGGCAAATACAAAAGGACTGTCATTTGCCAGTTTTTACAAAATTGTTTTCCTTTCATAGTTCTGACCAGAGGCCTTGCCAAAGACAAATTTAGAAAGAGCCTTCTGCAGATGAGAAGCGAACCCCAGAGGATCTCTAAATGGGCCTGGCAGAGGCCGCAGGAGGTCAGCATACCTGGGCTGCGCCCATTTCAATCACAGCTCTCAAGGTGGGCCAAATGGAAGAGGAGACCACAGAGGAGCCAAGAAGCAAGAAGGCCAAGATGGGGCTGACCCTGGACTTCTGCAGGAACCTTCAGTTTCTTCCAAACACCTGGGGACTCCGGGGACCTTCTTTGGGCACAGGGCCTGGAGTCATTAAACTTGTTTTTTGCCTGTAGCATCAGTTCTAGGCGTTTCTGATCGATTTTTTGTTTCTTTGTTTCTACTTGGAGGACTCCAGCCTCTAGAACCTACCAGCTTTCAACTCTTGCGGCTGTGCCTCCTGCTATGAAACAAGATCCGCTACATCCCCGCCCTGTTCTCAGTGCCCCATCCCTCCCTCGGGACCTTCTACTGCAGTTTGTGGTTTCCACTTTCCAGATTTGGGAGATGCAACGTTTATCCTTTGTTTTCCAGTGCAAACTTTTACCCACCTTAGGCTCACAAGGTCTCTTTGTGTTTTATTGATTTAAGACCCGGGCTCACAGTTCACCTTTGTCTGCCGCTGCTGTGGCAACCTGGGAGTAGCTCTACCCTCCGCAGCTTAGATCCTTCATCTCCCGTGGGTCACCTCCATGGGTCACCTCCATGGCCACACAGGGACACGTTTAACATCCAGAGTTCCTGCAGTTCCCGGCTCAGTGTGGTCCCCTCGCCGGGGTTCTTCCCGCCTGTGAATTTATTTCACATGCCGTGGTCTCCGCTGACACGCCCGCCCACCCTCTTTCTCGGTCTGCTTGTCCCCTTTTAATGTCCTTTCTTCCCCTAGGGACTTCGGGGCTGTGACTCTTCCTTCTCCTACTTCCTTCTTATAGGAGTCTCCACTCTCGCTGCACCGTCCTCTGTCCCGCTGGCCGGGGACTGCACGCTGGGTTTGTCCTCCTAACCCGAGCCTGCCCGGAAGCGCCCTGAGGTCACCCCTCTGGGTCTCAGCTGTCCCTTCCCGCTGCCCTCATTTTCTGCCATTTATTTCAAAACTTGTTCATTTTTCTCAAATTTCTCATCAGTCTCTTAATTTCCTTCTTGTTTTTACCAGAAGATTTTTCTTTCTATGTTACAGTAAAAATGAAACTCACTTCTGGGAGGAATGTCCCCAGCTACCCACTGGCAGACTTACGTAACTGCCCGCCTCTCCATGAAGGCTTTCTCTTCCTTTGATCCAATGTCCTTCCAGGGTAGTTCTGTACCTGGAATTAATCTGACCTGCTTTTCCTTTTCATTTATCTCTTTCCTCTTTGCTTGCATTTAAACACAACCTGAACTCTCCTGTGTGCCAAAATATATCAAATCCCTGTTTCAAGAAATATCAACAATCTTAATGTAACAGGAATTATCGAAGCAAGTGTAGGATTCTACTAAGCAGTATGGACAGAGGTCCCAGAGCAGAACCTTGAAGCCCAAAACAGAGTCTGCTGAGCCATGGCCCTCTGGGGATCCAGAACACCAGCCAGGGGTCTCTCAGCAGGGACGTCCCAGAGCGTGGCCACGCAGGCCACTGACTCAGGGTGCACGGGCCCTGCCTAGGACAGAGAGCACATTGCTTACACAACGGCCCAGGATCCCTTCTAATTAAAGCCCAGGTCCTCACGAAGCCTTCACAAGGGTCCTCCTTGGACCCCCTCCCAGCTCACAGGGCTTTATTTATTTGTCTTTGTATCTTTTGGGAAAATCTGTTTACACTCTACCTTCTCCGTCCTCGGTTTGTCACCATGGGACACAGCCTGGTGCTCCCGATACCAAGTCTGTTTCTTTTGCTCATAACCCAAATGTTTGAAACTTGTGGTCTGTGGACCCAAACCCTCCCCTCACATTACACTGACCCTCTGTGGTTGTGTCACTGCGCTAGCCACTGGCTGCTCCTGAATCCTTACGGTGCTTTCAGGAGTTTTTGACTGTATTCTACCTTCTAAAGAGTGTATCTGTGATTCTAAATGCTGAGTTCCTTTTTTATTTCTAGCCACTTTTGCTCAGTGCTCTTTAAAGGGTCTCCTTTTTCAATTCCTAAACACTGGCGGTGTTTAGTTTTAGGGTCCCCAAGGCTCCGTCTGTTTTAGCGACACAAGCCCCCTTGAGTCATTTCATCTAAGCTCATGGATTCTGATGTCATTTATGTGTTAACTTCAAATTCAAGTCCCCAGTTCAGAAATTATGTTCTGCCCTCTGAACAGCATGTATAACACGCACTGGCTGTAGACACACATCTCACAGGCCACATGGTACACTCTGGACAAGGCAAAGCCTTTTTAAGAAAAAGTCTTGCAAAAATGAAGCTTTATACGCATTAAGCAACCATTCTTTATTTACCTCGTTGACCTCTCCGTTTCTCTGGCCCCTGGCAAATTCCATCCGGCTTTCTATGTATGTATATTAATTTGTATCCTATATGGGTCCTATGTGAGTGGAACCATTTTTATTTTATAGCTGTTTAATTTCAGGTGGCAGAATGTCTTCAAGGTTCATCCATGTTATAGCACGTGTTAGAATTCACTTCCTTTTTAAGGCTTAAAAACACCGTCATTGCATATATATTCTAAATTTTGTTTTTCCATTCATTCAAAAAAGGACATTTGGCTTGTTTCCACTTGTTGGCTACTAGGGATACTGCTACTACGGGTATACACACACCTGTTTGTGTTTCAGTTTTTAACTCTTTTGGGTACATAGGGAATTCCAGAAGGGAATTTTTTTTTAATCATGATTATTTTCATTTTTTTGAGGCACTGCCACATTGTTTGCCATGTTAACTGTACCAGTTTCCTTCTCACAAGTAGTGCGCAGGGTTCCAAATTCTCTACATCTATGCTAAGGTCTATGAACATTCTGGATATTAACTCTACGCTTATGTGTTTGCAAACATTTTCTCTCTGCAGGCTGTCATTTTATTCTGTTGATAGTGTCTATTGATGCACAATGGTATTTAATCCTGATGAAGTCAAATTTGCCTATTTTTTCCTTTGTTTTTATTGTTGATTTGGGAGCCATGTCTAAGAAATAATTGCCAGATCTGGAGTCATAAATCTCACCCTAGTTTTCCCTCTAAGAATTTTATGGTTTTAGCTCCCACCTTTAGCTATTTGATCCATTTTGAGTAAACTTTTATAATAGGTAAGGATCCAACTTTATCTTTTTTTTATGTGATCCAGTTTTCTCTGCACTGTTGAAAAGGCATTGTTTTTATCTCTGTAGCTTAATAGTAAGTTTTGAAAACAGGCAGTGTTACTCTTCCAGCTATGTACTTTCTCAAGACTGTTTGGGCTACTAGGGGTCTCTACTGATCCCACTTCAATATTTAGATCCAAGCTTGCTGTTTCTTAACACAGAACTTTTAAATGGAGGTCAGTGGCCCTGAGGCCTACACCCCTTACCACATTTTATAGAGCCTTTAAGTTCGTATGGTGCCTGCTTATCATTTCGGCTGTCCCTCTAGCTTTTAATTCCCTTTACCCAAATCTACTCTTGCCGGGCCACATCTTCTTCAGACCTCGGCTTCCACACCTCCTCCACATCTCCATTGAGGAGTAAGCAAGCTTGCTGTGGTCCCAGAAGGTCCCCCCCACCCCGTTTAACCCCCCCCAACCTCCTTGCTGGGGTCGATGCTTGCTTGAACCTCCCCCAGCCTGCGCTGAGGGATGCCTGGGTCTCTCTCCTGTGCCCGGGGCGCACAGCACTCTTCAGAGTGCAGCCATCTGTGGACGTGCATTTGAGTGAATTTTTAAAGGTTTCTTTACTCATGTTCTTCCTGAGATAATCTTCCAGTATGTGGGAAGAAGCAGAAGAAAACGTCCCCTGGAAACACATAAACTTAAAAAACGGAACGAAACCAAACCCAACTCATCCTTGTATGCCTTGTTCTCATTTTACTCGCCCAAGTCAGCCTTGAAATTTGCAGTCCTTTCCTTCCACCCGTCTCGAGACCTTCCAAGTACAACGAGCAGACGACAGCACAGGGGCTGGGGATTTCCCGGGGTAATTCGAGGGTCTTCGATCCTCGTGGGTTAAAGGTGTCCCTGGGAGCCACCCCCACGGGAGAGAAGGTTCCACTGAGGCCCGGAAAGCCCCTCCAGCGGTGGGGATGCACAGCCAGTTCCAGAACTTGGAGACCGGAAGTGGAACAGCGCCGACCTGTTGCTTAGCAACGGCAGCTTCCGGGACGCTGGTCTGCGAGCGCTGAGAGAGCGGACTGCGGGAGCGCGGGGAGACTGCTGCTCCCCACTGCCGCCGCGGTTCCGGCGTCAGTGCTCCGAGGCCGGGCGGGAGCGATCCGGGAAGCACTCGGTGCGGCCGCGAGAGCCGGCGGCATGAGCGGCGAGCAGGTGAGAGAGCAGCGGCGGCCAGGTCGCCCGCGGGTCGGAACCCCCTACCCTCTCAGTCCCCTCGTCTGCTGGGGATATTGAACGCCTTCCAGAAGTTCGCCCGCGGTGTCGCCATAACAACCAGACGCGGCGCCTGCGGTGCGCCTGCGCAGAAGCCGCCCGGAGCCCCACGCCTGGGGTGTGAGTGTCGGTCCTAGGTGTTTAGAGCTGCGCTCCGCCTACCTGCGGGCCTGGGTCACTTAGTCCTTCCCACCTTGGATTCCCTGCTCTGTGAAGAGGAGGATCAGAACAACTGTCTCTCTAGGCTTACTGTGAAGTTCAAATAAATACTGTCACACTATCCGTATAGGACACTACTTTATAGATGGAAGAGTTTGGGAGGTGGCAGATGGCATTTATTAAAAATATCCCTGTAACCTGTAATAAAGGTGCGTGATGTGTTAGTTACTTTTTTAAAAAAGATCATCTTTTCGTTGAGTATTCCGATTTTTTATTCGTATGTGTTTGCAGTACGTAATAATGGCATTCATCTTGGCCCAGGATTCTTGGGTAACATACACTTACTTACTGCCTGTTTCCCCAGGTGGCCTTTCTCCGTGGATTCTACTTCCCTGTTTCCTACCATCTCTCTTTTATTTTGCTCTTTAAATAATTTATATTTTAGATCTCTCAGAGAAGCCATGTGATATTTAACCTTCTGTGTCTGGTTTATTTCCCTTAGTATCTCCGTCTTGACAGCTGAGTAGTCTCCACATTTTCTTTATCCGTTCGTCTGTGAATGGATATATCAGCTACTACTGAAATTTAACTGTGTTGCTATAAACATGTGTCACTATACCACAGTAATTTAAACTCTTTTGGGGGGAAGTTGAGATCTTTCTAGAACTTAAGAGCAACAGTCTTTTTAATGCCCGCATAGAACAGGAAAGCTGTAGTTGTAGGCATTTTTCTTGCTAGGTAGGAAACAACTCCAGCTCCTCCACCAAGATAAATGATAAAAAGACCATGTGACCAGTGTGGGAGAAACACATTTGTTTTTATGCCTGTAAATTTTATTTAGCATGCTTGGGTATTAACCTATATTTTTCATTGCTTTGTAAGGCTTTTTTGTTGTAATGTCAATGTTTCATTGGAAATGATGTTAAAAGTTGATGTAATCTCCTGTTTATTGAGTTGCAGATTGCTAACCAAAAATGCTGACTCTAATTCACTAACTAATCAAATAAACGATTAGTATCTGAGTGCTCAAGAAAATTTTATTTCAGGATTCTCTTAAAATATATAATAAAACCAGGAACTGTAAAACAGACATTTGATTCATGTACCATATTATAATTAGTAGTAAAAGAATAAGTGGCAAGCAAAAAACACAAATTCAAAAACAAGACACAGAAAGCTAGCAATAATTACTAGACCTCACTGGTAATTTTCCATGTAATATGATAATCAGTCTTTCTTTTAAAAAAGGTGTAATCATCATCAGTATCAGTATACTCCTAGGACTGACAGCTTCTTAGCTTGATGTCCCAATCAGTCTTTGACCTGACCTTGAAGAATATCCTATGTTGTCAAAATTTGAAATATCACGCACTGTATTGCGTTTACAGTGGCATTCTTGAATATTACTTCCCAATTCTAACGCATCTACAATTAAAAAGCATCATCCACTGAATACCCTTGGGAAGTTAAATTTGCCCCGGCTTTTGGAAACAGTGTTGGGAGATGAATGTCTACCCTGCCACTCTGGAAAAAGGCATGTTTTATTGAAGAGCTGGTGGGACCTTAAAGAACAGGCATTAGAGACTGTGGTGGCACACAGCTGTAACCTTGCGACCCAGCAGGCTAAAGCAGGTGGATTGCAAGCTAACGCCCAGGGCAACTAGGTGACTTAGTGTGACCCTGTTGCAAAACCAAAAGGTAAAATAAAGGATTGAGGAAGTGCCTCAGGGTGAAGGTCCTGGGTTTGATCTCCAGTGCCAGTAACCCCCACACAGTCCCCCCCATACAGATATGAATGTTTCCTCCTTGTACATATTATTTTATATGGCAGGAGGCCCTCTCTCCTTCTCTAGCTTGATTTGTAATTTTAAAACTCACCTTGGATACCTTCAGTTGTGCTAATTTAGAAGATAGTTTCCATCACCTTGGATACCTTCAGTTGTGCTAATTTAGAAGATAGTTTCCATGTTGAAAAGGTGAAAATTTTTATATTTTAATCTAAATAGAATGGATTAAATGCCATTGTAGAAATGCCATTTTGGCGTGACATTTGCTTATGTATTCATTCAGTTGGGAAAAGCAATCAGTAGTAAAGTTATTATTTACTAGATAATAAGGTATATAGTGAGATGGCATTTCTCAGAGATAGCAGTATGGGGTTTTTCCTTGTTAGATACCTAAAAAAAAAAAGATAAATCTGTTACAATGTACTTCATTTTATAAACTAGCTGAAATCGAAGGCATTTTGAGTTTCCATTGAAGAACTTTTGCGACGTTTAAAGGTACAAATATCCAAAGACCAGGAGTTTCCCACGAAGTGACTCGTGCTTATGTGCAAAGGGAATGCAAAAGCTACGAGCTATTCTCTGCCCCAGTGCTTTTTCTAGTTGTAGAAGCAAGTACTTTTTGCACTTTCTCAGTACTCATCATGCTTTATTTCATTGTAGCTTTACAATGTTTTAACTTTAAAAAGAGCTAAGAGTGAAAAAGTTCTCTGTGAGGCCAACACGACTCTGACAACTTTAATAACCATATCTCAAGCACAGGGCACTTAGCTTATGTCAACCTTGTTAATTTTAAGAGATTATTGTGAATTGGGTGACAGCAGTTCACACTTATTTTGGTTATATCAGGGTTACAATAACCTTTCCAATAGGTGAGTAGATGAGAATCAACACAGTAAAACCTAACCTTGAACCCTGACCATTTAAGGAAGATCACATCTGTCAGTTTCCTGAGCAGTTCACACTTATTTGGGTTATATCAGGGTTACAATAACCTTTCCAATAGGTGAGTAGATGAGAATCAACACAGTAAAACCTAACCGTGAACCCTGACCATTTAAGGAAGATCACGTCTGTCAGTTTCCTGTGGATTGCATTAGGATCCTACCAGAAAGCAGATGTCACATAAAGAGACCATTTGTGGAGTGTGTACAGGGTTCAGGGAGCAAGCAGGTGATGAGGCACCCAGGTGTTACTAGCAGCACAGTGCCATTGGCATTCTTGCACCTGATGGGTCAGTACTACTGGACACTGTTGCTGAGATCTTGGCGAGAGCTAGAGGTTGGAACAGTCACTTCCTAATAGGGGCTGAGCTCCAGGAGCATTCAGACCTGCAGGGAACAGGGTGTGCTAAGAAGTAAATATCCTCATATTCTTTTCTCCTGCTCTGCATTCTATGGGGATGCATCTCACTGGTTGGCAGTTGAGGGCACAGATGGTGTTCATGTATAGTATTCAGCCTCCCATCACAGAGCACCCCGAAAAAGGATGAGGCTCCATCCAAGGTTAATAACACAACCATCACAAAGATTATTTTATGTTTGCTACAAACGCACTGGATTTCTAGAATAATTTGGAGAAAACTGGCATCACTGTGATACTGACTCTTCTTTTTCCTGAATACATTTATTTATTCAAATACTGGGAGCAGGACCATCAAAAACATTTTAAAATTCTTTGTAAGGATGTTACGTTTCTTGTTAGACCATAGCTTTCATGGACAATTTCCTGTCAGTTAATCAGTTGGATTAAGTTTATAAGTTAGCTGTTCAAATCTTATGATATGATGCAATTCCCATTCAGAATCTTTATGTCCAAATATAAGCCTATCAAAAGACATAAACACCCTTATCCTTGCAGGAAGCAAAGATTGTGGTGATCAAAGAAATGTTTAAGATTGAGATTTCACAAGTGGTGCCCTATCTAATGATAAGAGCCTATCTAATGATAAGAGCCTATCTAATGATAAGAAGAGTTGCCATGGTGGTGACTGGTAGAGATGCAATAGAAAAATAAAAGATTAAAGATGAGCAAGTTAAATAAGGGAGCAGACTGTTGAATAGATTATTCATATATATATATGTATAGATGTATTTTTATAAAATATTTGTGATGGATGAGCAGGAGTAGAGCAAGAGTAGTTCTTTAGTAAATACAGTGGAACTCAAACTGCAAAATGAACTGTTGTTCCTTTTTGTTTGTTTACTTAACTGAGGAACACAAAGATGACATTGTGGGTTCAGGTATGTGGAAAGTGTGTAAGATTTAGGACTCTTTCTTGCTCCTTCCTTCCCTTTCTCCTGTATACCTTGATCTCCCTCTTCTCCCTCTCTGTCTCTCCTTGGACCAGGATTGCAGTTATGGCTATGAGAAGAGGTTTCATTCAGGGTAAATGTGGGCAGAGCTGAAAGGATTTGCTGATGGATTAAATGTACAATGTGAGAAACAGAGGAGTCCAGGAGGTCAAGTGATGTTAGCTGGAAATCAGAAGGTGAATGGTGATGCCATTTTTTAGTTCAAGAGAATATGGGGAGTAACTCCAGCCACCAGTGAGGAACACCATGCTGCCCTGGGACCTTGGCCCTTACAGCCGTACACTTCTTGCATGACTCCAGCCGCAAACACTATAGACAGGGAGATTGCGTGACCTGGAATAACCTGAAGACAAAGTAATAGTAGGAACTAAAAGTTGACCTACATCAGTACTACTAGGCTTGTCAGCCCAGGAAGAATATAGGACTCACCCAACAGGCCCTGCAATGAAAAGTCAGGTGACTGGCCCACCTAGTCATTGAGGGACCCAGCAATTGGACAAACATCAACCTCACATTAGGACCCCAAGATACACACTATCAACAGTTGACATTCCTGGGATTGAAGGACCAAATATTAATTAGAAAGGAGAAAATGGAAAAATGAAAACACAAAATCATCTAGTCTCAACCATCTAGTCCACCAGGAGCAAGTACAGGAGACATTGAAATAGAGGACTTCAAA